TCCAGAGTCCCGGCCGCCCTCAGCGCGAGGGGGAGTCTGCACAGGGAGCCGCTCTCGGGCCGCCTCCTCGCCCGGCCCGGCCCGGCCCGGCCCGCCGCCCCTCGCGCCTCCCGGCTGCTCCTCCGGGGAAACCGCCCGAGCGAAAGGGCGCGAGGCGCGGCGCGGCGCGGGACGGCTCCCTCCTCGCGCGCCAGGCCCGCCACCGCTTCCCGCCCATTCGGGAGCCAATCGGAGGCGCGCCTACCTCGGCCGCGCGTCGCCGGTCCCCGGGCAGCCAATCGGAACGCAGCGCGCCTCAGCCGAGCCGCCGCGGGGGCCGCTCCCTCACTCTCCGGGAGGAAGGTCGCCTCGCCGGGCTCGCCGCCAGCGCCGCCTCCGTCCTCGGATCCCCGCGAAGCCGCCGTCGCGAAGCCCTCCAGGCAAGGCCCGAAGGTCTCCAGGCAAGGCCGCGAAGGTTCTCCAAGCAAGGCCCGAAGGTCTCCAAGCAAGGCCCGAAGGTCTCCAAGCAAGGCCGCGCAGCCCTCCAGGCAAGGCCCAGGCGACACCGACGTCTCCGAGCTCGCGGCGGCGGCACAAAACATCCTTTCGCAGCACTCTGGCTCGGCCTCTTTCTTCGCCCCCTTGTTCGTGCGCTTAGCGGCCCGTCAGGCTCCCCCTCGCCGTGCTCGCGAGGCGAGAAGCGCCCGCAGCAGCCTCCGGTCCCTCTAATGCGCGGGCGCCCGCGCAGCGCGCCCTTATATGCCTTTTGGCTAACTAGCCGCACTGAGCCGCGTCAGGCTCCATCGCGGCCCGGCCGGCTGAAGCGCGCCTTAAAGAGACAAGCCCCGGGGCTCGTCCCATAGAGGCGCCCCGAGCCCGTCTCGGGGAGGGGTGCTGCGGGGCAGCCCCGGGTCCCGCAGCGCCTGGCCCTGCCTTCACCCCCGTGCCCGCTGGTGCAGCCTGCCAGTGAGATTGCCCGCCCGTGCACACTTTACCCGGGAGCAAATTGCAGCGCGCACAGCAGGACTTACATCCGAGTAGGCATGGAATTAGCTTTTCCATGAAATTTCCATGAAATTAGCTTTTTTAAAGAGCAACACACCCCATGTGCCGTGAATAGAGCTAGCCTGCATTTTTAATGTTTAGGCTGCAGTTAAAGAGAGCTGCTAAGTTCAAGCGAGATCAAGGACCATGGGGCCAGCAGGCGTTGCTGGACTTCAGCTCCCATCACGCACAGTCATCGATTCGCACACACAAATATTACAGCATGCAAAGCATATACAAATATGTGCACTTTATTTCATAAATAAAGAGGCCACTCTGAGTGCATGCGCGGGAAGACTAGAGCGAGGGGTGCAAAAAGGCTCAGTTTGACCTCCGAGGCGCCGTGGGAGGGGGGGCACAATCAGTGCAGGCTGACGATGGGGGAACCCTTAGAGCGGCACACGCGGAAGTCCGTACAGGCGTTATCACCGGTGTATTTACCGGCGTTCAGTGCGCGCAGCGCGCCCGTGTAACGGATTGGGCCTGTCAGCTGTCAATCACCTCGACTATTAGAGGTTCGCAGGGCTAGAGCGCCCAAGGAGTCAGTGCGGCCGGTACGGCGGCTCGCATTATCCTTTCAGAAGCGGCAATAGGTAGAGTGACGCTCCTTCGCGCTCACGCCTGGCCCCGGAGAACAGCGGATTTCCGTCCTTTACCGGAAGTTCGGCGTGCGGCGGCCTAAGGGTTCCCCCTTGTGTGTTTCGGGCAGCCCGGGGGCCGCCATTTTGTCTCCTTCCTTCCCGCTACGCACTGTGTGGGGGAGGGGCCCACCGTTTGGGAGCAAGCAAGCAAGCAAATAAATCGATATTTCAGGCGCGCATAAACCAACCGGGGGGCTTCGGCGCGGTGGCCTCTCCTGGGCTGCCGGGCCAGACTCTGCCCGGGGAGCTGCCGGGCCGCGGGGGCATCACGTCTCAGTGGGGACGGCGGGCTCGGGGCCGCCATTCACGGCGCTGGCCGCTCGAGGGCGCTCCAGGATCACGGATGAGGCCGTCGCCTCCCAGGGAGGCAGCGAAGGGAGAGCGAGCCGCGGCTGGGCTTTCCCGCCGGCAGGGCGGCGTTCAACCGGTGCAGACACCGCCGCTGCCCGCTCAGGCCGTCCCGCGGAGATCGCCCCGCGCTGCTCC